ACGGGAATCCAGGAGCGGGGTTTTCCCTTCTTTTTAATCTATTTCTTTTGGGATTTAGATTCAACTTTTATTGGCAAAAGATACACGAGATATTTCTAAAGTCATGATATTGGTGTCTTTTGTCTCGCAGTGATTTGATAGCTAGGGGAAGACGGAGGAAAAATGCCAAGATTCATGTGGTTCCAGGGTTAGGGATATACCTGTCAGATTCAAAAAGTGCCGGCTCGGCCGAGGTTAGCCGGGATGGACCAAGGAACTTGCATGCGCTCTTGAAGTCAAAGCTTCCCTTCTCCCCTCCGCCGACACAGATCCCGCCCATCCACCCCACGACAAGACCTCGACATGTCAGCCTTACGGATATTGGTGCCCATTAAGCGGGTAATTGACTATGCTGTAAGTCATGGAGAATACAATTAATTGGATACATAGGCAAGCAGTAGCTGATACCGTTCTTCCTCACAGGTCAAGCCCCGTGTCAACAAGGCGCAAACCGCCGTCGAGACAGCCGGCGTCAAGCACAGCATGAACCCCTTCGATGAATTGTCGGTCGAGGAGAGTGTGCGCATCCGCGAGAAGAAGAGAGCCCCCGGTGGCGTCGAGGATATTTGCGTCATTAGCGCTGGACCCCCGAAGGCCCAGGACGTTCTACGCACCGCCATGGCCATGGGCGCCGACCGCGCCATCCACGTCGAGGTCAAAGAAGGGGAAGACTTGGAGCCCCTGAGCGTCGCCAAACTGCTCAAGGCCGCTGCTGAGCAGCACAAGAGCAACCTCGTCATCCTGGGCAAGCAGAGTATTGATGACGATGCCAACCAGACTGGTCAGATGCTGGCTGGCTTGCTTGGATGGCCTCAGGCGACTCAGGCGAGCGAGGTCGTGTTTGGGGAGAACGATACCGTCAAGGTCACCCGCGAGGTGGACGGTGGTGTTGAGACGCTGCAGGCTAAGCTGCCATTGATTATCACGACGGATTTGCGTTTGAATGAGCCTCGCTATGCCAGCTTGCCGAATATTATGAAGGCGAAGAAGAAGCCATTGGAGAAGAAGACGTTGGCTGATTATGGAATTACGGGAGATAAGAGGTTGAAGACGCTCAAGGTTACGGGTGAGTTACGCTGGATCGGTTTCAGGGGGGATATTTTGACTAATGATTTCTTTTCTGCACAGAACCCCCTGCGAGACAAGGAGGTGGTAAGGTTGAGGATGTTGATGGTTTGATTTCCAAGCTTAAGGAACTCGGTGCTCTTTAAGAAGCCCTTTTTTCTTGTTTGTGTGTGTATGTGCGTGCCAATTTGTACAAGTACCATTTTGCAGTGTCTCCGTCACATAGAATAATCATCAGCAGGCACGTCTATGCGATTGGATCTTTTGTTGGATAGAAAAATTTGGACTTTCTGGATATTTGTTGATCAACACCCAAAATGGTGGGGGTCATTTTGATGGATGACAAGACACCCCGCATCTACGTCACTTTTCTTTTTCCAAGAGTCCTGGAAAGTTCGGCAATTGTAGATAAGGACCCCCTTTTTTTCCTGCAATAAGGGTATACTGAAAAGTCCAGAGGGATGGTTTGAGTGGTGTTTGAGATGTCTCGTCATCTGAATTCGAATTGGGTTTCAAAAGATGACGCACTGAATAAGTAGACATGGTGGAGTGCGTCCGAAGCCGCAAAAAGCTAGCACAAATTCAGGGACGCGAAAAAAAGAATTCCGGCCGTGTATCGGCGGGCCGGCCGTGCGCTTTGGCGGTTCCTGGGGCATTTGACCAATGAAATTGGTCCCAATCGAATTCTTTTTGGAGCCAAGTGACAAGAAAAGACCCGCCTTTTTTTCTTTTGGGTTCTGACTCTTTTTTTCTCAATTCCCATCCCTTTGATATCAGACACAGTACCCATCCAGCATCATCCACTCGCCTGGCACACACACATTCAACACCACTCTCTCCTCTCCTCCTCCTTGGATTTTGAACTCTGAAAGCTGCGCTGATGAACGGCCGCCCTTCCGAGTTCACTTCTCAGGTATGTCTCTCTCTTTGTTGGCATTTGGCAACTCAACCAAACCCCGCTGTTCATGCAACGACAGCGGCACACGACACACCCACCTTAAGCGTCGTGTCGTGGCTTGTTTTGCTTCCCCCCTCCCCTCTTTCGGGGCTCCTCCATGGAGCCCAAGATCCCAATTTCTAATCCCCCATATGCTAACATGCAATCTGTGTCTTAGGATTATCTCTCAGGTCCGCTCTCCTCCCGGGATATGGCTTGAGTCACCGCCCCGTTACTGACTAGAATTTTAGACCATCTGTGGAGAGCCCTGTCCGCTTAAGACTCCCCACGCTGCACTAGAGATTTATTGTCATTTTTCTATCTCTTTACGACAAACAGCATATTCAAGATGTTCTCCCGCCTGGCCGTCCGCCTCCCCAAGACTGCGGGCTTCGCTGCCCGTCAGGGGCTCACTTCCCGCCTTGCTGGCCAGACTCGCCTCGCGAGCAAGCTTGCCGTCGACGGAAGCAAGGGCAGAGCTATGCCCGGCGGCGGCGATAGAAGAGCCACCGCTGCTGCCGTTGGCGTTGACGCTACCTTCACCATCAGAGTATGTTTACTTGGCTACACTAGTGTCTAAAATAATCTTAAATCTAACCAATGTCTTGTCCCTCTCCGCAGGATGGTCCCGTCTTCCATGGCAAGGCCTTCGGTGCTGACGCCAACATCTCGGGAGAGGCTGTTTTCACCACCTCTCTCGTTGGGTACCCCGAGTCTATGACCGACCCCTCCTACCGCGGCCAGATCTTGGTCTTCACCCAGCCTCTCATTGGCAACTACGGCGTTCCCTCCAACGAGCGTGACGAGTACAACCTCCTCAAGTATTTCGAGTCCCCTCATATCCAGTGCGCCGGCGTCGTCGTCTCCGATGTGGCTTTGAAGTACAGCCACTGGACCGCCGTTCAGAGTTTGAGCGAGTGGTGCGCCAGCGAGGGTATTCCCGCCATCTCTGGCGTTGACACCCGTGCCATTGTCACCTACCTTCGTGAGCAGGGTTCCTCTCTCGCCAGAATCTCCATTGGTGACGAGTACGACGCCGACGAGGATGAGGGTTTCATCGACCCCGGTGCGATCAACCTCGTCAAGCGCGTGACCACCAAGGCTCCTTTCGTTGTTACCAACCCCAACGCCGAGTTCCACGTTGCCCTCATTGACTGCGGTGTCAAGGAGAACATCCTCCGCAGCTTGGTCAGTCGCGGCGCCACCGTGACTGTCTTCCCTTACAACTACCCCATTCACAAGGTTGCCGACAACTTTGACGGTGTCTTCATCTCCAACGGCCCCGGTGACCCTACCCATTGCCAGGAGACTGTTTACAACCTCGCTCGCTTGATGGAGACTTCACCTGTTCCCATCATGGGTATTTGCCTTGGTCATCAGCTTTTGGCTTTGGCTGTTGGTGCTCAGACCATCAAGCTCAAATATGGCAACCGCGCCCACAATATTCCTGCCTTGGACTTGACCACTGGCCAGTGCCACATCACTTCGCAGAACCACGGTTATGCTGTTGATGCTTCTACTCTTCCTTCCGATTTCCAGGAGTACTTTGTCAACCTCAACGATGGTTCCAACGAGGGTGAGCATTTCTTATATCAACAAATCTTTGACCATATTGCTAACTGTGATGTTTTTTTAGGCATGATCCACAAGACCAGACCCATCTTCTCTACCCAGTTCCACCCCGAGGCCAAGGGCGGTCCCATGGACAGCTCTTACCTCTTTGACAAGTACCTTCAGAACGTCAAGGCGTTCAAGGAGGCCGGTCCTACTTACCGTGACAACAGGCCGTCGCAGCTCCTTCTTGATATCTTGAGCAAGGAGCGTGTCGGTGTTGAGCCTAGGCCCTTGGCTAACGCTGCCTAAAGGGGTTGAGGGGGAGAAAAATTGGTGATGTGTGTTTTGTGTGTGTGCGATTCCTTTTTTGTTTCTGGGTTATGTGTGATGGACATGGCTGGAATGGATGGGATGGTTTTTGCTCTGGATTGGCTTGGGTTTTGTGCCTTTGCTTTTTGACTTTTTGGGTTTCAAAGCGGTGTTTTTTTGTTTAATGTGTGAAATATATGGACAACTTAAAAAGTAAAACATTTCTTTTTCCTTGGCAAAAGGACTTTCTCTTGTTGGTCTGGGGTGGATGGAAGTATCAAAAATTGGTGCTGTATGGAAGGGGATGATGAGTAGGTGGATATTTTGGCTACTAGCTAGGCTTTCAGTGTGCTGAATGTCAAATGCTTGCTTTAGTTTCATCGTTATTGAAGTAACAATTATTGATTTGCTGCTGTTTTTCTAATTTAAACTATTTTGCTCTCTTGATAATGGAATGAAGTAAGTGATTCAGACCACCTACGAACGGAAAAAGAACCACGCAAGGGCCTTAAATGCCATCTCACCAAAACGTGGGCTCAGGATCAACCTCACTCATGGAATGAAGTAAGAGTTTTTTCCCCTTCCCCTCGGAAAGTAAAGTTGAAGACTTTGCATTGACTTGTTTTCTAAAGATAAGTAGATATGTTTCTCATTTATGGCTCGCTTTTTTCTTTGTGTTTTTTTCTTTCTCTTTCTTTCCTGGCATCCACAAGAAAGCATCTACATATCTATCTTACCATCTTGTCATCGTTCAGAGGAGGGCTTTTTCGAAATTTAATTTTTTCGAGAGGTTTTTGATACTGTTTGATGTAGTTTACAGTTGACGGTTTTAGAGGTGAGTATATGAATATTGATCCTTTTCGGCTGTTACGGTTGGTGATTGTGGTGAGTGGTTGTTTATTGGAAGATAGGTAGGGGTTAGATTAAAATAAATAGGCGTTTTCGATTTCAAGAGAAGGATTTTAAAAAACAAAAAGTACCGTGCTAACAAACATTCAACAGGGCGTATTATAGTTTGGACTATCATCTCCCAGGATTGGGAAAATTAAATATATATATATATATATATATAACAAAAAAAGAATTATTGTTCTTTTGCCCCCGGTCGGATTCGAACCGACGTCTTTCGCTTGGCCTTGTTCACAATCGCTGGATAAGAATAAACGCTGAAGAAAAGACAAAGACAAACGCTGACCGCTGAGCTACAGGAGCTGTAAGCTTGGGTTTTGATTTCGAGGAATCAGAATCTAAAATAAATAGTCCCTTGGAAGGGTGTCCGAGTGTTTGTGATAGATGTTTGGTTCTGGTGGGATTTATGGCTTTGCTGATGGTAGTGGCTGAGATTTATTAGAGAGGAACTTTATCTACGATGGGAGAATCTTAAAATTAGTTATTCTAGTCCCTACCTATGCTAACTGATGATAGGAAGAACAGTATATATATTGGGTGAAATAGAAATGCTCGATGGACTAATACGCTTCCGATAAATATTTAAGATTTGGAAGATAAAAGTTTTTGATTATAAGATTTAGTAACCTTTATATTTTATCCCTTAATTATTTTCCAAGACGCCGGGTATATACCCTTGAAGAAAAAGAAGAAAAGATGAAGGAAAAAGACTCTAGATATGATACAAGACCGTTGCCTTTGCTTAATGCTTCGAAAGGAATGTGGAGCGAAGCCCACCACCACAACCAGGGGTTGTTGAAATGGAGGCAAGCCCCAAGGAACCAGTCTCAAGGTGTTATTGGTTTCATGTATGTAGTATGCTCTCGTTATAGGTAGTAATGATACGCTTATCACCTCGGTGAGAGGTACACAGTGCATACATACCCACCACGGTGAAGACGAGTAAATACAGACACTGCAGGAACAGATTACAAGTAACGGCGTGGATTTATCGACCCCCCTTCAGACACACCCAGGGTATAAAGATCATCAGAAGTGGGCTGATCACTGGCAATGAATTTTCATGATCGACGAAGAGAAGTTTTTGCTCAGATGGGCAAGAGCCATGTTATTCGAGACACGAATACTTGATCAAAGTGGGTATGCTTTGTTTATCATGCAAGTCATTCATTTCATTTTGTCTTTTCCGGTTGGGCGAAAGAAATATTTGGGCTCTACCGATCCTCCAATATGTCACGCCATTCGGAGCCAACTGTCTAATCCGGGAGGCGAAATTTCCCGACCGGACACTCGGAACGGAGAGTTGAGTTCCTTCGGGTATCAATCAGTTTTTGTGAGTTTCTTGAGATATGGACTGTGGCTCTCCCAAGGTTTCACAAAGCTTATTGTTTGTTTTATTTTGTTGGCTTTTTTTGTCTTGATGTGATTGAGGTGTTAGGTTGTCTGTTGTCATGAGTTGATGATGACCGGAGAGGATTTGTCTGTTGGTTTTGGAAGTAAGTATGATTGCTTAGTGAGAGGGCTTAGATGGATCTCTTTCTTTCCAAGGGATTCTTCTGTCAGCGAGTATCTTGATCCTCTAGGCTTGGTTTGTGCCCCGAAATTCGGACTTGTTGTCGTATCATCTGAGTGTGATATTTGATCAAGGGCTGCAGTAGTCTTGGGGTCTATGGTCATGCGGATGTGGTAGTTACCTTGAACGGGAAACCAAAGAGGTAGAGATAAGTTTACTTGTACTTGAAGTCAGTTTGATAGGGAAGTCAAGATTAGATACTTCAGGCTTCAATTTCGCTAAAGATATTTTTCGGTCTTTGTGTTCTGTTGTATACACAGTGCGTCTTCGTTGTATCCAAGCAAGTCAAGAATGGGAAGCGATACTCTTCTACCATAACTTGGAGATCATCTACTTCCTTCCATGTAACCAACCCCACCATCGAAGGCACTATGATCCATCAAAATAATGCAAAAAGGGAGTATTTTATACTCAAAGAACCCAAAGTGACGTCATAAACAAAAATGGTCTCGACCTAGCATCTTTTCCCCCACTGTTTTTAAAAGTAACAATCTGTAATGTGTCGATCCTCGTCTGCCTTTCCCTCCGTGATAGTATCATCTCATGTAACAGTAGCAGCAACATCAATGCAAAATTTTCCGTCTTTTTTTTCTGTAAATAAAAATTCAAGAGAACTTGCCATGCAAATTAAGTGCTTGCGGCAGCATCAAAACAAACAAATAACAGAAGAAACCTCCAACGCCCCCCTTGGTGTCATCGAGTTGAGAGAAAAATATCCAAAATTCCAATCCCTTTCCAAAAAAAAAAAAAAAAAAAGATCCGTATTCCAACATCAAGAAAATAAACAATAAAAAAATTTAGAAAAAATTCCGCCACTCTTCGGTTCCGTGAAGTAATATCGCATTCAGCGATATCCTTGATTATCACGAACCATATCCAAAATAAAACAATAGACAAAGGAAACATGCTGATCCAAGAAATGGCTATGCAAAATTGTCGTTTTTGGGGGGGTTTTAAGATAAAAATTGTAGTGCTCTTATGGTATCTCTCATAAGGTGTCATGCAGACATTGAAGCGGCGAGGAAAAGAGTGAGTCGAGTCGAGTTCGAGGTTGAGTGTCGTCAAAGTACAAGTTCCTTAGTAGCCATGGTGGCCACCGTGTGGTGGGAAGTACGAACTCTGAGGAGGAGGAGGGGGCGGGCCCGGCCTTCTACCTTCAACGAAGGATTGCCGCCTGTCTCGTGGTGCGGGAGTTCTGCGCTCGCGCAATGGCTCCAGTGGAGGAGGAGTCCGACGAGGCAAAGCCAATGGAGGCATCTGCATGGGAGGCATGGGAGGTAAGGCCTCTCTCTCATGAGGAGGAGCAGCGAGGCTGGGTCCACTGACGGCTGTGCCAGGGCCATTTCCACGTCTTACTGCTTTGCGGGATCCTTGAAGGGCGCTGAGAGGCGGATCCTTGACGGCGGGTTCGTTGTCGTCGGGAAGGGTCAGTTCAACCAAGCTGTAGAAGTACTCGAGCACTTCCGGGTAGCGTTGTACTGATGCTTGCCAGTCCTCGTCGATGCCTCGCTTGAGTTGTGCCTGAGCTGCCGAGATTTCGTTGGGATGCGGTGGTGAGTGATAATAATGATAAGCGTGGGCGTTGATTCTATCCAGGTGTTGTGCGTGGGCTGTCTTGCGTCTCTCGGTCAAGAGGCGGAAGTATTCGAGGATGTAGTCTTGAGCGTGTGCTCGGACCCACGAGCTGTGAAATGGAGGTTAGTATCATAATGGGGTCCCAGCAAAGCAGAACAAGGAGGGGCAGGACAACTTACCGTATGTCATTGTAGATGGACTGCATCATCCGGGCCTCGGCTTGCCGGACGGCCACTTCCAGACCTTTTGCCTCGCATTCGCAGGCAAGAGAGGCCGGAGCGTGGCATATGGCACAATCCGGATCCATCCTGATAACCCCTTTGCGGTTGGATTTGTTGTTGTTGTTGCCGTTGTAGTCTCTGGAATACATGTTCAGTGCCTGTGCTTCAGGAGCGTTTTGGTGGTGCATGATTGCGGTGTTCATGTGGGGTAAACACCTCGATTAGGAGGTTCAAGGTGAATAGAGATAAAAGTACAGTACCATGATCTTGATCATGACAGAACGTGTGTGTGTGTGTGTGCTTGCTTTCTCGGGTCCTGCCCAGAATAAAAGATGTATGGTGTTATGGATATGGGAAGGGAGAAAGATAAGGAAGAATTTCAGGATGGGCAGCGATGTGTGTTTTAGGGAGAGAGAGGGAGAGATGAGAGGACGAATGAAACTGACCTGTAGATACACACAGAGAGATAGATATGTCTGCTTGCTGCAGGATGTAGTTGGTCTGTATGCGTGTCCCGTCTGTCTACCAAGTGAACCGGCAGTCGACGCCGTTGTGGTGTGAGAGAGCAGGAAAGAAAGATGGAGGGGAGAAAGCACAACCACGTTTCAAGCAGGCTCTGGCTGTATTCTCTGGTTGATGGAGTTGGGCAAAGGGCCGCTCCCACTCTTTCCAAGGCGGGCTTAACCACGTTTAGTCTGGAATCTGTGTGTCGTGGCTCGAATGCAGGCCTTTGGCAGCATTTGTCTGCAGGTCTTGCAGATGCCCAATGCCAGTCCAACCAGTCCCGAGACGCGCTGATCCGGGGAGGGGGGAGATGACCCAATTAAAGAGAAAAGATCCTCTTGTCTGCTGCTGGTACGCTACGAGAATGCGGCGAAAAAGAGAAAGAGGAGAAAGGGTGTGGATAGACGTATGTAGGCGAGCCGAAGTGAGGTAGCAGTGTAGTAGTGCTCACTTGTGAAGTGAGGGGAAACAAGAGAGAAAAGAGGAGGAAGTGGATACTCTCGATGATAGGCTGATGATGAGGAGGAGAGAAGAATGTGAGGGCAATATCGAGAAGGGAACAGCAAAGGTCAGGAGATCACGAAAGGAAAAAAAAATTTGACATTCCCAAAAGAATATAACCGCTGTGTTCCGTTTATGCCCGTGTGCCAGTGTGCTGCATACAGATCCAATCCATAAAGTGTGCCCTGCTTGAATCGATTGGGGGTTCGGCTTTCAAAAGAACCAACCAAGACGAAGAGGCTGGAAGAAAAGTGAGGGGAGGGGGAAAACGAGGGGGGGCAGCCGGGAGTCGGACCAGTCAAGTTTCGTCTCGGATGCTGACCGCATGTCTGCACAGAGAGAAGTCTTTCATGCAATGATTGATGCAGCCCGAGAACTGCAAGATTACACAGTGAGCCAACCACCGGTATCACGCGGAGACACATGGAACTCAACGCGAGACATTTTCAATTTGATGCGAATCTGCGCAAAAGCCAAGACATTTTTGTCTTTTTCTCATCTCCAAAAAGGTTTGTGAGAATTAAAAGAAGGGACGAACGGCTGGATCGGACGTGGGATGATGAATTTGTTGGGCACACGCTACACAACACACGGGATGCGCCCAAAATGGTGACAAAAGGCCTGATCCCTCCTCCGTGAGGATCGACAGGGATGGCAGTTTTCTACCCCACACATACACGCCATGAAGTGGCCATAGCGCAACGGCGCAAACTGGGGGAGAGTGGATTTGCGAATATTTTTTATCTTATCGCATTCCAAGACCCCTGTTCAAAAATATCTTGAAAGTGACAACCTGCCCGCCCGACGCCCAAATTGCCCACCACATCGCCCGAAATGGCATGTCGAGGCTCTCGAGGACCTCGGGTGTTTCTACCCTTTTTATATCCGTCATTATTTAATCCCAATGGCACCCAGATCGCTCGCGCGAG